CATCCTCTGAAAATGCTACTGGCGTAAACAACAAGAAAAAAAATGATTCAACATTTCGTTCAACATTTTTTTTCTTTTTTGGGTTACTATGACATTTTCTGTGTGGTTTTCCACTTGTGCTAGGGCTAAAATAGTTTCTCATCTCGTCCTAAAGTTAAAATTTGTGTTCTGCAAGTCTAGCTAAAGAGTTAACTAAACCTACTTGTAGTTTGTAATTCTAATATTTCTTCAGCGTGTGGCAACCCTGGGCCATCGGAAGGAGTTGCGGCCAGACTGGTTGGTGGTAACAGTGCTGCCAACGGTCAATGGCCGTCAGTGGCCATCCTCTACCAGAACAAGACAAAGGCATCCTGTACAGCCTCCATCATCAGTCCTCGCTGGCTTCTGTCATCTTACAACTGTCTGCATTCCAGGTATGTTATACCACTAAGATAAACAAAAATAAAATAGATCGATAATTATTGAATTAAACTTGTTAATAGGTAGTGCTTATATTTTACTGGTCCTTTTTTTAACTTGTATCAAAATTTAACTGTATCTTTTATACATTCTTTTTTGTCTTTGTTTTCTAGTAGAGTAGAACAATACTACACCTTAATGAACCTTAATTATCAGAATCAATTGGGAATGTACCACACATTCGGATAGACAAAAATTTAAGCAGGTAGTTGGATCCTTACCAAAATTCAAGGTAACTTGTCAAATATAGGTTTAGTTGAGCTGAGCTTTTACTTTCTCAATCACAGAACGCATCTGCAAAGATTTTCAGAAATGAAAGAGATGATTTTCTGCGACCGCCGGTGATAATGATGATGTCTATACAACCTTAGAAGATATTCAAGATTTTTTCACGATTGCGACTTCTGCCTCCTTTAAATGAAAATTCTCATTTCAGGGACAAATCGCTGATGTCTGAAGGCTGGGTTGCGTTTGGAGGAGGCTCCATGTTCGAAACTGACAAGCCTGAGACTCAAGTTCGTGTTGTGTCAGAGATGGTTCCGTATCCCCAGGTCAAGTTCAACCGCTTCCTCTACTCGGACGACGTGGTGCTCGTAGCGCTGCAGGAGCCATTCGCTCTCTCTCGCTACGTGGGAGCCATCTGTTTGCCGGAGAAGGAGATAGAACCTAGACAGATCTGCGTCACTGCAGGCTGGGGCTACACTTCCCCGGGAGGTTAGTAACCTTGACTTTTGATAGGAGCGCAAAATTTATGAATATGAGTTATAGAAAATATAAGCTTTGGAATAACAATTGGCCTTTCCAAATATATACATTGTATTACCCTTCATCGTAACATTACGTATTGCTTTTGTAAAATAAAAATATAGTACTTTGTTTCCTTGCGCACTGCTACAACACTTAATAGCAGCTGTTTATAAAATGTTTCCTACAGCAAAAAATAGCTTGATTTGGAAAAAAAATATGAAAACTTCTTTGCAATGGTAAAGGATTTGAATGAAATTAGTTTCATCGTACAGGACATAAACTCTGTTTTAGTGTGTCAGTGTACAATTTGACAAAATTCGGCTCATTGAGCTAAAGATAGAAGGTTAAACATTTTTTTCTACTTTTAACTTAAAACTTGTAGGTAGGCCTACCCTAAATTGAAATTATAAATTCATCTTTGTGTGAGACCCAATAATCCTTATTTGAAATCTGACAAAAAAATCATAGTACAGCTCAAAAATAAATAAAACTGATATACAAATATAAAAATAAAACGTATTCATATTTTTACACATTTTTCAAGTAAGTGTTCTGTGTTTTCAGAGATCAACTTTAGTCAGTATCTGCACTATCTGCCGGTGCCTACGATAGACCTAGCCGAGTGCAACTCCACCAAACACTACGCCGGGTTTGTGTCTCACCATGAGATCTGCGCAGGTTTCACAGACGCAGAGAAAACTCCTTGCTACGTAAGTGTATATGTACATACATACAATTCTACTACTTCCTTCTGAAGAAACCTCTTATAAAGGTTTTTTTTTGTGCAATGTAAAGTTTTATGTCTCTTGTCCAGAAAAGTCTGTTATCATAACAAAAAATCATGGAAACCTTGGTCCTTGTGCTCTATTCTACATCATCTAAATTTGTAACTATATTGATCAATAGGATATCCACAGAACTACATTTAGAGGGTGTTTCAACATTACATAGTCAAAACTCAGCCCTCACTCTCTGAAGATTTTTTTAGAAACAGTTTCTGTTAACAAAATATATTTAATTAAAGAGATCATGGATGATGGTAGCAATTAAGCTATAAGCTCGTGGTTTTGGTACCTAAAATTCTAAAAATCAACCACTTTCTAATCAACATAATATGTCGTTGATTGATTTGACACATAGCTATCAAAGGTATATGTGATACATAATAGCTGGTGAACCAAATGGATTGTGGGTTGCTTATTAATGAGAGGTTTGCCGGTTCGATCCTGAAAAAAGTTAGAAGCTTGATGGTTCAAAACTGTAAACAACTATCCGTGACTATTGGACTTTTAATGAATGGTCCTAACATAGGAACAGCTGATCTCAGTTAGTAACAAAACTGCACATATCGTCTCAAACCATTCCAAACTCTTCCTCCACTCATATTTGGGTTAAAATGGTAGATTTTAGTCAGTAATAAAGATAGAATCTCATACATTTAACAAGGCTTATTCATCTTTGCCTCAATGTATGAACTCTGGTGTATTTAGTAATAATGAAATCTACGTGTCGTTGTCTAACTAGTGTTGTGATGTGTAGAAGGACGAAGGAGCGCCACTGATGTGTGTCAGCGAAGGAGGAGTCTGGGAACTACAGGGAATCTTGAGTTACCATAGTCACTGCGGCCGCGGCTTCCATCCCTCCATCTACAGCTCGGTAGCTGCTGTGCGCGGCTGGATCGAGCACACTGTCGGCAGCAGGTTTGAGCGCAAGTCCACCTTCAACGTGCGCAGGTGATAACCGACTTAGGACTCTCACGCTAGTTGTGGAAGATATAACTGAAGTAAAAAATGAAATGTAAATTAGGATCTGACGGACTTATCAAACGTTCAGTTTGAATACTAAGTGAAGTAAACTGAGCTAGTCATCGAAGATTGTAAATGATTCTTTGGCTCTTTACCATTGTGAAGCGTAGACTTAGGTCTACCAGCAATTATTGTACATGTGAATCATACTCGTTTTGAATTAGTTTGTTAAGTAGGTAGATTTTATTCTGTGAAACATATTTGTTCTCAAGTTTTTAAAAAGAATAATTTTTTCTTGACTGTGAAAACTATTGATTGAATGTTTCAAAACAGTTTTGAGGTGTGGTTGTAAAATATTATGCAGAGATTAAAACACTCAAAGTTTTAACTTTACAAATTAAGTGAAAAAAGGTCAAAAGCAACATCAAAATTATCATGTTTGATCTAAAATATAATGAAGTATTGAATCTCATGGTACATTACGAGTGATTGTTCACAGCTATTCTTTTGACGCTCTTGTAACTTCTTCTTCTCTTCACCTGTTTCACAGAATCCTTTTCCAATGACGTTTATAAAATCATTAGGTGTAATGACATAAGATTGTACAGCTAGAAATGGATGCCATGTGTACGTTAATGTTTATAGAATGCTCAAAGAATGCCGCTAGGCTTGTGGGTAGTTCCTTCATTTTGGCCATGATAGAACTCGTCAACCATAGGAAAGGAAACACTTGTAATATTGTTAGACTTGTAAGTAGTTGTAAGTTAGACAACGTGATGTCTACCAAGAGCATGCGGTTGGATGTAAACTATTTTAGTATTCATACTTTGTAAATAACGTTTGAAATAGTTTTTAACATTTTGTACATGTAAAAATGCTTCTTCGGTGCCAAATTATTATATCGCAAATTGATCACAATGTAATATATTAATCTTGACTTCAAAAAGCTTGTTATAGGTCAACAAATCTTGACATAAAATATCATTGAATTACCAATTGAAAGGCTGGTGCGTAGTCAAATAAAAAGTACTTTGAGAAATTTTGGTCAAGATAATCACTTTATATAGTTATTATTTTCATTTGTTCATGTCTCAAAATCTGGTAAACCCATCTTGTTAACATTTTGCTAAGTTTAGCCTTGAATTATTGTAAATTATATATTTTATAAGTCCTTCACAAAAAAGTGCCTTGCAATAGCATCTTAGTATAGGTAATAAAATGTAAATATTAGTCAGTTAGATATAGTCCTCCTTCGTAACACAACTCTAGTGTTAATTGTCTTTATTTTAAAAACAAACAGAATATACGTCTTTACGAGATACTTTTATAGAAAAAAAACTGCCACAGGTATGGTTCAGTATACCTCTTTCTAAAAGAAAAACAACAAATTGCATTTATAAATAGGTGCATTTATCCTAGTGTAAGATATTTTATTGTATCATAGTCTAATTCTATATCCGTCCATAAGTACTGTTGTATTTCATAATGTTGAATCCATGTATATTAGTTATATTGAAATTGTTAATTTGTACAGTTTTGTTTAGAATAACATAATTATTCAGTGAAATGTGTTGATTCATTTCAAAGAATTCCTGAAATCCTGTTCGACCAATTGAATACAGTTACGAGTGTAGTTTGTCACAGCATTTTGCGGATAGTGGCGCTTTTTGTTTGTCGAGTCTCATCTGCGTGTGACACAGAGAAGTGAGCAACAGAGGAAACACTCAATGGTGCACTTAAATGGTGTCTAGCACTGCACAAGTTCAACACCGTCCCCCTCGCACTCATGAACTGATGTAGACTTTTCATGGTAGAGGAAGACCCTGTGCCCTGTGCAATAGGAGTTCCCGCATAGTGCTCGCTGCTTGGACTCTTCCTTACTCATCACAAATATTCCGGCACAACATACTAGCGCAAAAAGCGTACAGTTGTTCCATAAGCATGTTTCCTCTGCTAAGTTGATTAAGACCTTGCACTGACAAGTGTAGCTCTGGGGGCTTTCTACATGCGCGGGTGAAAAATAGAAATGTGGTTATAAATATTACACTCTTATTTCAAAACAAGTTTTTTATTACAAAACACTCTTATATAGAAAACATATGATTCATTACCAACATGGCTTCTTAAAACAAATCTCCTTAAAGTAATACTGGAATGAAACGAGTTTCTGATCCTATGACTAGCTTAACATGCCTGACACTTTGGTCAGGAATCTAGTGAAACTAATATCTAGGATTCCTACAGCAGTCAAACTATCCGTCTAATGTACTTGAAAATCTTAGGTTATTTTGATCAAAGATGCTAGTAATAAATTCAAAATTACAAAAGCTAGTGCTACCGATTTTGTATTTACAATAACTTAACCTGAATATTAAAACTGATCAGAAAGTAAGTTCTGCCGATGTTTTGTAACTTCCATCCAAGTGAAGAATTAACCACGGAAGTGGTAGGTAATGCAACTCAGCAAAAGTCTGTTGTCAATGGTTGAAAACAGGTACAAAACAGATCTCCTGGCTGAGTTTCTTTGGTGATAGACAAACATATACAAATCAATATGTCACATGCAGCTTCGGCTTTCAAAATCAACCTCTCAGTAATTGCACTGAAGTGTCAATTGTATCCTCCAGTTTAGAAGGTGGTTATGGTTTCACCATAAAATAGAAGCTTTGATTGTTGATACTGTGAGGTAGACATCCCATCATAAATATTTGGACAGTTGAAGAATAGAAAAAAAAGTTTATTCAATCGAACACCTGACAAAATTTGCTACTGTAAAATACTGTTAGCGAATTTCCGCTTAAGCTATTACCATAGGTCTCATGGTAAGACCTAGACCATCGACCGGTTTATTTTTTTTCCTTTTGAGGTCCCCAGAAGCGAAAAACACCATCTTTTCAAATTTATATGTGTTTGTGTGTGTGTCTGTTAGCATGATAACTCGGGTTCCCAATTTAACTTATTAAATTAGTCAAATCAGTTGCAGACTAGGAGAACAAGTTCTGTAGGCATTTTCATTTCCTGAAAAAAATATTGTTTTTCCCATTTTTAATCTCAAAACATGATATTTTGTAATTCCTTCCTTAACCATTTCATACAGCTTAAAAGACCGATAATTTTGTACATTCATGCGTTGTTAAACGATTAAAGCGCCTGGAGAAAATTCCAAAAACTGTACTTTTTATATTTCCATATTATTCCTGAGCTATGGCTATACTCAACGACAATTATTCAAACAATATTTAACGTTTCTATTAGCTAGAAATTTCTCATTCATTTGAGTACAAACATTAAGTTATAACAGACTCATAACAGCCTGAGATCAGATCATAAACTTAAATCGAAACCAAGCTTGAGTCTTATTCCAATGTGTTCTCTAGAATAAAAGACTGTCAAAAGCTGGTAAAGATGGAATGTCTACTTCATTATCCGATAAATTTAATATTCAATAAGATTAATTATGTCCTCATATATTAGTGATATTGCAGTTTAAAACCATCTGTAAAATGTATAATTGTTTCTTCATTTTGAATCAAAACTTACTTCCTGACCAGACCATAGAGAAATTACAAAACATTAAAAATAAATGCAAAATTGTGTTAACTCTAAACAAGCCTATAAATATTATGATTACTCTCACATAAACTATAAAGTAATAAACAGATAAAAAACTACGTAAGCTGAAAGTCATTTATATACAAATATCACATATTTTTAACACCTTCTGAATCTTCCCTTCAGATGAAACAATGAAAACTATACAGATCTTAGCATTAACATCCAAAATAACATCAGTAAAGATATGTTAGTTGAGAAAAAATATTTACAAGATTTAGCACCTTTCACATTGTAATTCATAAACAGAAGACTCTCTCAAACACTTCGGGATTATGCCTTCTTTGAATTATGAGAAGTTTACATAACCATGTTTTAAAAACACTGTATTACGTGTGCAGTACCACAGAGAAGTAAGGCACAGAGGAAACATTCAATGGTACACTGTAAGTGGTGTCTACGGCAAAGTCCAACACTGCCCCCCTCGTCCTCATGTACTATGACTCTCACGTTGGAGGAAGACCCTCCTATGCCCTATGAAAGAGGAATTTCCGCACAGTGCTCGCCGCTCAGGCTCTTCCTTGTGCATCATAAGAATATTCCAAGCACAGTAAAATAGAGCTAAAAGGCGCACATTGGTCCCATAAGCGTGTTTCCTCTGTACCTTAATTCTCTGTGACAGTGCGTACAAGGAATATTAAACATACACCTTTTATCATCATTAAAAGGATCAGCTGGCGACAATTTTAAGGTTAACCAGGCTTTAAACATCAGCTGTTTAGATGTTTACCATTTTTCTTGTTAAGCAAATTTAAAAAATATTTTAACCAATAAAACAATCTTAGATGGATTTTCATGTTCATTTTTCCCTTTTGTAAACGCAGCAAGTTTTTATGCCACACAGGTTATCATAAACCTATTTTTAAACTTGGTCTTACAGACATAGTGTTAATGCTTTCATAGAAAGATACAACTGTCAATAAGGATGAGTAAAACTTCCGTATCCATTGTGCACTGAAGGGATCCCACCCGATGAACTATTGGATTTACTCCTAGCGAGGTCCCATCCCAACAATGCATTGGTCGGAATGTTACCCTTGTTAAGTGTTTGGACGTGTTCGAAGTCCGAGGTGTCGTCTTCAGTCTCATATCTCTCGCTGAGCAGACGGACTCTGTTCGGAGGTAAACTTCTTTTCTTCTCAAACGTGATGAAGCATGTGCATACCACAAACTGCAAAGAGAAAAATGCAGAGGTTAGTAATATTTTTTGGAAGCTTTATGTTCGCTTATAATAATCATATGGTAACTATCACACCATTGGTAAAGGACGAAAACAGAAATCTAAGCAGTTTTAACTTTAATTTGAGATGCAAGTAATTTTTTTTGTAGATTATGCATACTTTATTGTTGATTTATCATCCCCATGAAAAATATGATGATTGATGACGATTTTAAGTTAAGTTGCGTCTGGTTCACAAGGATGGCACTTTGTTGTTTAATGTTGTTACTTTGGTTATAATCATACATAATAGCTTATTATCTTGTATTAAATAATCAAATCAAATCTGGCGAGTCAAAAGCTCAGTTAGTAGCGCGATAAGACTTTAAATCCATGACATGGATGTCGTAGGTTCAGATCCTGATACTTGCCAATAAATTTTATCTGTACAAATCACCCTTGTACTGTACCGGCTCACATTGACTCAAAAGAAAAACATTTATACTGCATCACTGCACACTTAATATTGTTTACATGAAACATATAACAGGTTATAGATTTTACTAAGTAAAAAGATTGTGATTTCTACTTGCACCATTCAAAGTGAATGCTATCATAAGTACCGTATAAAATATACTCACCAATGCTGAGTGGATGATTATGACAAACAAAGTTCCGTTTCTGAAGCCTACTTTGTCATAAAGCACCCCAGCCACTGAGGGACCAATGAAAGCACCAAGGGAGAACGAGGCAGACCACAGCCCTGAGAGTATGCCATACGTGCCGATGTCATCGTTGAATCCTGCTGCGCTGTAAATTACATTACAATTTTATATTTTTATGAAAATATTTCATATAAATAAAATTTGAATGTCTTTATTAGCCAGTGTTTCTCTAAAACTCACAGGTTTTTCAGAACAACAGTTACTATATTCACTATCCACAAGTATACATTCGTCTCTTTTAGAAACATTTTTAAGTTAATTTAAAAGTACAAATTGTACTGCTCAATGCAATGGTTTTTAGGCTCTGGGAGAATCTGTCGTACAATATGGGTCCAAAATAAGAGACACTTTACTTTCCTAATTCCAAGGTAATCTTGGAAAGTGAATCCTCCCACCATGACACAGTAGCATACTGGTAGCCAGGATTACGTTAAGGGGGGGGGGTTATTCAACGTGACCATGCCGGGGGGTCTGGGGGGTATGGAATACCCCCCATTCGAGAGGGGGCCCGGGGAATTTCGAAAATTTGAAATTTTGAAAACTAATAGCTGTAAACTAGCGTTTTAATGCAATCTAGACATATTAATTTTTAAAACATAAATTGATTTTTTAATTGAGTTTTTAGTATAGGTATTTAACCTATTTGATTAAGGTGTTTAAACATGAATTTAAATTTCTTACCGTTTTACAGAAGAATATTAAAAATGTAACTAAAATAGTTTCTTAATAGTTTTGCCTGCTTTTCATTTTGCTAACTTTGGCCTAACTTCAGTTTCTTTCCAGGCCGCTTACAATTATCATCACTCATTCTTCAGGACGCTGAATTTTTATTTCAGGATTAATTTTGCCAACAGTGTCATTTGTAGGAGTTAATTCAACTTCAGATATGTAAATGTAATTAATCACAAGGATAATGATGAGATAACGTAATATTTCAGCACCCAATAATTGATACGTAATTTATCTAAAAGTTCACAACCTCAAATCACGGTCAATTGTTTTACAACGCACGCAGTAACACAGTAAGGGCATCAGTGATCTGTCTAATGTCTATGTGACTACTGACAGTGACAGTAACCAACCAGACTACTCCCCCGCACAAAATGACGGCTAGCGAATCCACAGTGGGAACGGGGAGCGAGTAGAACTGGTGGAAGTGGAACCACTATTATAGTACTGTTCCAGCTCTGACTACATGGCTACATGTCTACATGTGATAGAATCAATGCCCGCCCCGTTTCATCAAAGCTTTTTGGTGAATATAGTCGTAGTGTACGCCTTTTGCCGTGACATGAAAAATGTACTAAAACACTTAATATATTTCTAAGACTAGGTAAATTGTTTGGCACTTTCTTTATTTACTGGTTAGCATAAAAGTATACTAAGAAAACATATTTACTTCAACAGTAAAATATATATATAGGTACACCCAAGGGGGGGTTGTAACCCCCAAAACCCACCCCTTGGCTACGCCACTGCCATGACGAGTCCTACGTTGGATAACCTCATCCTAGACGGAAAGCCTCTCGCAAAGATTGTCAGGCTCACAGGGAGGCATGCAGCATATAAAAGACCTGAGCAACACACTGGCTGGTTCACAGAGAGGGAAACATGATCATCAAATTTTATGATGCAGAACACATATCGGATTGCTAAGTTTTGGATTTGATGTAACTGGCAAATGTCTTTACAGTGATACTAATTGTTGTCTTATGCAGAAAAAACAGCAGTAAAATAGTGACAGTATCACTTACTGCATCACTGTAACCATGACCATAACCTATAAATTGTCAAGCAGAGTGTATATTTGTCCTTTTACTTTGTTTCATTCAGTGGCTTATCCAGGGGGGAGGGGTTAGGGGTTTGAAACCCTCCTTTACCTCAAGACATAATTTTTACAGTTCACATTTTTTTCTGTAATTAAAAATCTCTTTTATGTCTCAAAAAGGCCCGAAAACACGAGTTTACAGATCCCCCGGAACCCCCTGACCACCCAGACCCCCTGGTGTAGCCCTTCCCCCCAAATTAGGATATGCATTGTATAGCGTCTGCAACGGACGTATACGTATGCAACTACGTTTTCCGAACAAGTCATAGAAATTTCTTGTTACAAAATAAAGTCACAACGGTACAGAGCACAAGAAGTATTAAGACTTATGAGAAAAATTTCTTCTCAATATGTTCAGAATTTCTGGTTTACAGAATATGTAATATGTGTTTTATGTCCCTATGTACATTATGTAGAAACTACATAATCTTCTGAACCAAAATTACTAAAAGATAAGGATGTTATAAAAATAACTACAGTAGTGTGACACAACGATATTATTAATGAAATACTTACACTGCAGAGCATATTGAGTCCATGAAGGTCGGTACCATCAGAGACGCCAGTCCTACTCCGTGTATCACCAGGCCTATGATGCAGAGGGGCAGAGTCCTGCAGGAAACTGAATATTAGTGCTGTTTTAGGACCTTTTTCACTCTCTTACACTATACACAGTATATGGAGAAAGTATTGTTTTCATCAACATTTTCAATTTTGGGTTTTAGCAGAAATATCCCTTTTGGGCCCCCCTGAACGAAAAGTGATTTCTGTATGCGTGTGTCTAAAATTTGGTATGTTAGTTCCCACACACCAAATTTTAGACACACAAAAAAGGACTTTGTAAACTATGTCATCTTATATGTCTAATTAATAACTCTCAACGTTAACAAAATTAGAGATAAAACTGAGTTTTAGACTGTGGCACTCTCTGAGTGTGAAGAATTCTATGTTATTATTTAATTAAAATTAGAAACAGCTGATCTAAATTAATGGGATTTATACGCTACGGCTTAATAGCTTTGCAAAGTTATTACTTATCAACATATTTCTCATTTGAAAAATCTAACAGATTGACTAAAACTTGATGACCGAATGTTAAACATTTACTTACGTAGGTAGTGGTACGAAAGGCGCCGGCCCAACAATCGTGAAGCTGATAACGACCAGGACACAACCAACAGATATAACTCTCTTGGGATACGCCCAACGATCACAGATACGGCCGACGATCGGTGCGACGCAGGCATACGTTCCCCCACTGATCACGAACATCAATCCCATGGCAATGGGGGACAGGTTGAACTGGACAAAGACATACAATTAGTGAAGTGTTTATTCGTAGATATTAAATGAACTGATCTACTGATCACCTCTGTCAATAAGTATGATGGGAATGCAACTATTTAGGTATATTTTAACCAAAATATTTAAACAGAATTTTATTACGTTTGGTAAATAAATGTACACCCTGGTATTCTTACTATCTAACGTTGACGTTTCTTTATACAGCGTCATTAATAGCTCAATCAGTGCTGGATTCACCGCTAGGCCGAGGCCTAGGGCCACAGCGTTTTGTGCAATAACAATTTTTTAAATTAATAATTCACCACGACTTTGGGTAACCATGAAAATGTACCAGTGATCACGGTAGATGATCACAATTTTGGTGCGATCACAAAAGTTTCACCTAATGGGTAGGAGCCGTTAGTGTTAATTTGGCTGCAGGTACGAAATCTGACACGGATCCCAAAAACATAAAAGCGTTTGATTATAGAATCAACATCTTTTGGGATTGAACCAGCTACCTTCAGATTGAAGGTAAGCATTGTAACCACTCGGCTGCCCAGACAAATTTGAATACTGATTGAAACTCTATGTATTAATAATTGTGCATAAACAACACTTTGTAACTATTTTACCTACCAATCTTAAATGAGGTTCAAGTGTAGCAGAATAAAATCCCATACTGATGGCAGTGGCAACAACAGCAGCAGAGTTGAGTAGAATAGCTGGCACCTTCAGGAAATCTGTGATGCCTACAGAAACAAAATGGTATTTAAAAGGTACCTATCCTTTATTGTAAGTTTTAAATAACTTATATTGTTTCAAAATTGATTGTTTTCCTATGTTTCTTTAATAATTAGTTTTGGCAAAATTCTTGCTTCCTTCTGGTTATAGTTAGTAAAAAGGCGTCATCAATGTTGCAGTTGTGAATTTCCAGTGTGGAAAAATTATTCCAAAATTATTCTTCAGAAAGTATAATCATAGACTAACCAACACAAGTATACTTCTCATCCCATTGTAAATTTTGTAGCTCATTTCTCGTGTCTATTTCATGTACGGTGACACTGATCGCTAGTGTTGAAAAAATTTGGTTTCTATTATTGTTTTGGTTAATTTCTTGATTCGTGCTTTACTGTTTGGTTATATAACTAGGGGAAAAGTTATTGTTTATGATTAGATTGGTTTATTTGACTAAACGAGGTATTGAGTGACTAAAACAACAAGAAACAAATTGTAAAAAAACATGACCTTTACAGTGCACAGGACAGAACTAACAATAAAATTGCTTCAGCTGTTTCATAAGCATGAGAAATCTACTGTTTTATCTATGGTACAATCTCCTCAGTGATTAAAATAAAGAATGTATGTCTTCTTCAAGAATATTTTGAAAACAACATATTTCTGACAATGTGGTTGCTGTGGTAAGACACTGCTGTTAAGTCCATGTGAGTAAAAGAGATGACGTTTATTAACTGATAAGTTTTATCAGGCTGAAAAAAGAATAACTCTTAATCACCACGGTTCATTCCATGTCATTCTATTTTAAGAAGTCACTGTTGGTTTATATAACACTAGTGAAAAATGCTTACAATATTTCAATTATCAACTGCAAAGATAATTACACTAAATACAAAGTCCACCAGTCGATAATGAAGGTTATCAAAGTCTTGAAAAACTTAATAGGTTAGCAAGATTGTTAGATAAGCTTTGAATGTTTAAATTATGCTAATTATGAGTCTAATAACACAACATGATTTCCTTAAGATAAAATTTCAATGAGTATGTGCAATGATAGGATAATAGATAGTATTTACCATCTCCTTGTTCATCCTTGACTTCTTGGTAGATCGGAGGAAGAACGTAAACTATGACGAGTGCGATCACCAACATCGCGAGGCCGTTCACGATAAACGGCAGTTTGAAACCTCCAAGCTGTAAGCAAAAACAGCAAACCTCAAATGGTTTCCAATACACCAACCAACAATGGATTGATGGTGTCTATTTTCAAGACGTTACTCTACTCAAAACCCTGTTCCTGGCCTTCGTATTGCCACACCTTGAGTTTGGCTGTTGTGTTTGGTCACCTCACCAAAACTATCTCAAGACCGAACTTCAAATGGTTGTTAATCACTTCTTGAGAGTGGTCGGTGTGAGGTTGGGCTACAACTACAGAGAGGTACCCATCCAAGACATCTCCGTGGCCCTTCAAATCCTTCCCTTGGAGTCCAGACGTGAGATCCAGGACAACTTGTTCATCTACAAACTGGTCAATGGCTTCATCGACTGTCCCGGACTTCTCAAACTTCTGAACTTTAGGGTGGGTAGATCTTCAAGATCGAGGGACCTCTTCTCTCGTGAGCACCTCAGCACCAACTATCATCTCTACAGCCCATTGCCCAGAGCCCAACGTCTCGTCAATGCTCTACCTGATGACATTGACCTTTTTAGTATGTCGCTTGCTTCCTTCAAGAAAAGTGTGGTGTCTTCGAAGTGGTGAAGTGGTAATCTCTCTGTGTTTTGTGCCTGCGCCTCTCTGTATACGTTAATTTCAAAACTGCCCTTTCTTGTTTTGTAAACATCACGGCAGATTTTTCGCTTTTTCTGCTATGTTTGGTTGTGATTCGCTTGTTTTGGTCCATGCAATATTGTTATTTTTGTTTTTGCACCCAAATTAGTTATCAAAATTTTCTTGAATTAGAGATTGTAATTATTGAAAATTCTTCCTGTTTGTTAACTTGTATTTATTGTTGCTTTTTATTGTAATTTGTTATATTGTTCAATTATTAATTGATGTCAAATGTTATTGCTTGTTATACTGTTCTGAATTGTTTCTCATTTTGCAGCTGTTATTTTTCTTCAAATTGTATCAATCTAAATCTCCTAAGTATTGGCGTCAGCCGTTGGTCAATAAATAAATAAATAAATGATTGACTCTAGTGAAAAAGATTATACAGTTACAAATTAGGTTTGTCTGAAATTGAGAGAGTTGAGCTAAAAAATTTGAGTCCTAGAGCTTAAGTACACAAGAAAGGCGACACAACTTAACACTAATATTTTTTCTTAAAGTCAAACTTCTTTACAGAGAAGATAGATTTTTCTGCGATTTTAATTTTCTCAAGTAAGCTTTCTGAACTTTGATCCCTTTCCCACATGCCCACATGTATGTTTTCCTGGAACTTAAACCTAGGTTACAAATTTATGTAATTTCCTGTACCCGTCAACAGAGTCATATATTAGATTGGAGTTAGAGTATATAAAAAAACTGTTGGAAACATTTATAAGGAACATAACTATTAATCCCAATTAAATTTGTTTCAAATTCGAATTCTCAACGTAAACTGAACTGTGATCATGGAAAAGAAAAGTTGATTCCTGAACATACTAATACAGTTAAGTAAATATAGATTGGGTTGTTGTTACATGATAATATTTATTTAAAACAAAGATGAAGATTGGTAAACCATCTAATCTTATCAATATTGACAACATAATATGTGAAGAATGTTTAATAATATTTCCAAATTACTTACGGAAAATAAGAATCCACCGATGGTAGGACCAACAATATATCCAACACCGTAGAAAACTTCCAGAGTTGCCTAAAACATAACATAATTTATTGATTTACCTACTTTACGACTTGTCTCAGTTTGGTAATAGAATTTTTTTGTAAGCTTCAATAGTTAAGAAAAGCTGTGGTAGATGTATCTAGTCAACTAATTTTTCGTTTTTCATTATCCTGCCGCATTTTCACATTCTAGGATGCTAAGTTCTAGCCTGGAACTAAACTACTGTTTAGTATTTTACTAATACTTTCCTTTACCTAAAGCAACAATTTATTTTAATTTTTTTATTTATTTATTTTGTCCTGGGGCGCTAGGCACGAGCCCGGGACTTTTTTTCACATTTTACTTCAGGCTAGACCTAGGGGTTGCGGCATTATCACTTAGATAAAGTCCATTGGTGATTTGGTAGGTTTTGAACCCGGGGCCTCAGGTACCAAAGTCCCGTGTTCTAACCAGACCAGCTTGCACTCCCACTACTTAAAGCAACAATAAAAAAGTTAATATCAATACCATACTGATACTGCTATGGTTTACTTACAAAAGTAGTCCCAATAGATTTGGGAAACACAGCGGCAGTTATCGAGAAGGCAGCCACGAGCGCCGCTGTAGATCCTAGAGCTTCTGTTATCCTTAGCAGGAACGATAAGGAGATGAACCAATTGTGTGCCATCACATAGTCTAGCATCCTGCAACACCAATCAATAGATCAATCAACCAACTAATAAATCAATTTAAAAATTAACCAAGCATTAAATCAACTAACCAACAAATCAACCAATCAAAAATCAATCAATCAACCAATCAAAAATCAACAAATCAACCAATCAATCAATCAACAAACCAATCAATCATGTGTCTCAACTCCAAGAGGGTTCTTAAGACATCTCCTCTTCCTAACAAAAACCTTCTTTGATCGAAAATGCTCTGTAGTTTTTTTGTTATGCCTGCGTGGAAACAACTCATTCCCATTCAGGTAAGCTCTTCTAGCTACAAAAATGTATATCCCTTTTGCTCTATGCTACATCCAACCCAATCTGCCCAATCAGAATCAATCAATTCATTCTTGTACAAGACAGCAGGGCACATGAACGGCATTGGCGCAAGATGACCTGTGTAGCTTACTTAGTGACTAAGATAAGCTGTTTCTTTTTTCCATTTTTATCAAAAGTCCAATGATCATGGACGGTTGGTATTAGCATTGACTATGTATTAGGCAAAGAAACTAGTTTCCACCAGCAACTAAAAATTATGATACAGTATACTCCTGTAGACATTGACTTAGGCTTCACGTTTATGTAGGCTATACATAATATGTAGGTATATTATGTACATGTATTAGGTATACATAAAAGACTCTTTTTACAATACAAACAAAAAACCTTGACAAGCTACCATGCAATACTTGGATAGAAACTTGGTTGTACTTACCCAAATAAAATAGCTGATAAAGCTGCCAAGATCATCCCTAAGTGAAGAGTTGTTTTAGCACCCCAAGAGTCAAGCTATAAGAAAAAACCCTTTGATTATAATTAGGTATATCTTGGAATTTTTTAAAGAAAATAAAAGTTTTGTTTAATTATTAATTGTAGTAAGAAATTTATGTCCTCTTCAAAATTATCCAAAAACAAAAGAAGTTGGATAGAGAAAGAAACTAAAATCAAATATGAAGCAAATTTTCATAACAAATTATTTCAAACACTGTTACTTACATATTTTCCTAGAATAGGGCTGCTGAGAAATGCTATTAGCTCAAAACTGCCAAAAACTAGTCCATATTCTGTAGCGGTAGCCCCTTTCAATTCAGCCTGGAAAAATACAATACAAAAGTTTTAGTAAAGAGTTATAGGTTCATAAGTATTACTAATTATTCACTTAATTGAGTCAAAAAAGACTTCTATACCTTTTGTAAAATCAGTAAGCTCATTTTTTTAATAATTTCGTAGTGATAGGCCTACTCTATTTTGTTTTGTCCATAATATTAGTTGATATTAGTGATATTGGCATAAACTGAAAGTTTTTTAATAGTGATGACAATATTAGAGGTTAACCAATTGTTTACAAATTGATAGTTGATTTTGTTGTTGTTGTTGCTTTAATGGATTAGTACATAAAACCTGCCGAAGCTGTGAAACACAAAATAAAAAAATTTTTCGATTGAATAATCATTTTGCCCATATATGTCAATTGTGTTTCCCTACTTTCCATTGGTATCAATTGTTGTTTCCTTTAGGGTTGTTGTTACTTGTTTCTTTTTCTGTTTGTTCTACTATACACTTCTCTGTATGGGTATTTTGTGTTTTCTCAGCGTTGGTTGGGTCTGTTTACTATTGTAATTTGTTGATTTAGGTATTTTCTCATGAGAAGGGACCAGGTTCAACATCAAGAAAGGTGACAATGTTTTCCATAATCTTGAATCCTTTATGGTAAACCCTCAATGATCCCTTAAAAAACATAAAAGGTAAATATTTTATTTGTAATGCATGCTTTATTACCATCCTGAGAAAAGTCCTTAGAAAAGTCCCAGCTTTTGATGGTTCGAAACTCAACCCCGATGTTCCTGATCATTGGGCTTTAAATAAATGATCCTGTCCACTTAAACAGCTGATCTTAGAAAATCACAGCCTTTCACAAGAGGCCACTGGCCTTACCAGCCAGGCAACTGCAGTGGATGGTACAGGCAATTCTGACAAGCCACTCCACTACAACCACTCACTGTACAATGGTAATTGCGAAAATGCTGTCGAACAATGAACATCTCCTTCTTCTCGCGTTGATAATAAAGAAAAGATGGCGAAGACACAGGCGTACTATCGCAAATTGCTGGGTACTTTTCAATTTCACAAACTAGATCTTCAGTACTCACTTTGTCTTTTATTATTTTTTTGTTTAGTCTCTTATTCTGTTCTTCTTCCTTTGTCTTTTCAGCAACATCCTCTTTATGTTTCTTCTGATCACTCATTTTCACAAACAAACAATTCAACACTCAACAACTACCACAGCGCATTTGTCTCTGCAGTCTGCACGTGAACTGGACCAAAATAGTAGCTGAACGCATCCGCGGTGGCGGCCACTTTGTGTGAAAGCTCCCATTTAATTCAATGCCCCGCGACGAGTTGCCGCCACTGCGGTTGCCGACTAGCAGTTGCACAAGGAGACACTGCTTGGCAACTGTGTCCTGACGGATGAAGTGGTTGCGTGTGAAGGCTCCCATTTAAAATAATATGGATACATTCCACGCACAGATCTGTAGTCTATGTGGACGGGCAAATGCAAGGTTAAAAGAGGCAGCGACCTCTTAAAAAATCATACTATGCAATAAAAAATTCAGTTTATTATATTAAATAAGTTTGTAAACAAGCCTATGCCGTTTCATTCAGTGAGACGTTCGTTAGGACAGCCCCAAGTGCTCCATAACGTGCTTTGAGGAGCTTTTACACTTCAGTGAATCTTTTATGTTATTTCATTCTTCCCGCTTCAAAATGGCGAGCGTTAAAACTTCCTTGAAGTTGCTGCAGACGATTGTTTTGTTAAAGAAACGCCAAGGTCATCTAGGTCCATTCACTCATCCTTCACTCATATTTTGGTTAAAATACGCATCTAGGTAGCGACCCCATCTCAATTAATAAATTGATAATTGAAACTGGCACTTTTATAAAAAAATTCATTACAAATTGTATCTTACCTCCTGCGGGTAGAAGGGAGCCTGCAATGATATACAGATGGCACTGGAGAAGTGAACACTTCCGATGGCTACCATCGTCATCCATTGTCTCTTGGTTAGTTTTGGAGCCCCTCCCATGGTCAGTACTGGGCTCATCTGCAAACATTAGGGGAGAGGATCACAGAGGTGAAAAAATAAGAGTCTCCATTCTTAACTGGAGTGTCTCTGCGAGTCTGGTCTCAAAGTATAGTTTGAACCCAAACCAGAGAGATAGCCCATCCTAGCTACAAAATCAACTGATCCTCCAAGAAAGCTACACAGATCTCACTCCCTATACACTCTTACACGCCTTACCAGCATTAATTTTTATTTTATTTCGTGTGTTTCTACACCAGTGACATTTTTTACGTTTTGAAAGGAAATGGTCAAACCCTGGTCTTGTTACTAACTATAGTGGAATAGAATACAGAATAGGACTGGCCTCTGAGGTGGTAGGGGATGGTAGGTTATAACATCAACCATTTTGTTATATAGCATCAAAGGTTTGAACACTATCCCACACTAAGAATAATATACTGTCACTTTCTCTTGATGCAATAAAATCTATGTATGAATCAATAACTCAAGAAAAATTAAACAAACTAACTAAAACAAAAACGAATCTAACTCTAACAGCTGATGTATCTGCAATATTTTTAAATGTGATTAAATACAGTCCTTTAACATAGGTCCATGCCCTTAGCAGAGGGTTTATTGAAAAACTGATATTTATCGGGGAAGTTTTAAATCAATACATTTCATTCAAGTAAGCGTTTAAGGTGTGCGGCTTATAGTTTTCTCAAAAGTTCAAATCCTTCTTAGCTTTAGCCTACATAGATCACCTTTTGTTGTTTTCTCAAAAGTAAAGTATAGTATTTTCATTGTCATATATTTATGTTAAAATTTTACAGTTCCATATACAACCATAACTTGGTATAACTTGGCATGGTTTGTACATTGTTCGTGGACCCAGTATCAAGAACCTTAATAAAGTCACATTGAATATGGATTGTAAAAATAATTGTAAATTTGATTGTTTGGACCGTTGGAAGCAAAATAAAATCAATAGACGATGTTTTTCTTCATGTAAAACTTAAGACAACAACTATGATATACTTCAAGAACTACATCAATTTTTATGGCTATAAATAAATCATATTTGTATGGTCAATAATGTCATATTCGTTTACAGACAAACTGGAAATAACTTTGATAAACAATATAATTTTGTTTTGACTTGGTTCACAAAACAACACTTGTTTGTTATGTACACAGCTTAAATCTTGGTAGCAGATAGAAAGTAGTCTTGAATATTTACCTACATTCCTATGGTCACCATTTCACAATAAAGTATTAAAGTATTATAAATTTACATTTAGTCCAGAATGTCTAAAGAACTAATGTATTATGGCAGTGGCTTTTTTTAGCAAATATCATACACGCTTTTAGGGGAAAGCGATTCGACCCCCTCAGATTTTTCCTGATAAGACGGGAATCGGTCTTGTCCCTCTCATACCGAAACCAGAGAAGCTATAGGCAATGAATAAAGAACCTTATTGCTTCTTATAAGGTTCTATATTCATCGCTCTAGGCTAGTGACGCACCCCACTATAAAAAATACACGTCAAAATGCATCTACAGTTAACAATCAGTTTTTATAAAACTAAGTTAATTTTCAACCTTAACTATTGGAATTTGATTTGGTATCCAAAACAATTTACAACTAATCTATAATATTAAAACGTGATAGGGGTTTTTTTATTTCACGATTCTGAATCAACCACTTGACGGATTTTCATGATTTTTGTGTTGAAAGAAAGATAATTTTGAGAACTAGGGAATGTCGAAGCCATAATTTTAGTTTAGGGTTTCAGTTTTTTGGAAATTAAGTTTTAAATTTTAAAAAGTCTAGCAGCCGACGCTAACATTCTACCTTTTACTATTAATACAACAACCTACTCTAGCTATTGGTATGACCAAATTTGCTTAACGTAACGGCTGTAAACATTCCGCGTTTTTCGACACAAATTCAGCTTTTGGATGAAAGTAGAGTATTATACATCGATGGTTATAACTAACAGCTGGTTGAATAAAAATATTCTATAGAACTATGAGGTTAGTTTATTTACTCTGAGATTTTGTCATTGATTATAGGAAATAAGTAAGATTCTGTATACGAATCGAAGCTCACGAATCTTCAAAAGAAAGCTTATGAAAATTATTTTACTATTTGACTTTTTTTAGTAAAGGTTGGGGAAATAACAATGATTACATGTTTTAACTCATCTTGGAAGCTTTTTCTTCGCTATCAATTTTGAACTGCTTAAGCTATGCCTGAATTAGTAATAGACACACTTGACACACTATATACAGTTTTAATGGACTACTCGATTCCCGTACGTAGGACGGGCCAACAGCTCGTATATATTATTTCTCCAACCAGTTCTTTGCCAGTGTTGTTTACACCTCTTTTTTATCATGGAAACATGAAACCTACAAGCTACCATAGAGTAATACACTTACGACATGTTATTTGATAGTATATCCCAATTCGATACGTGTATATCGCACGGGAAAGTTGGCAACAACGGTCACGTGGTCGGTCACAAGACAGTGACGTCAGCAGGATCCGATTCACTTCCACATCACATGATTCGACCGCGCCGGGAGATCGACTGACCTGTGTCCAGTGATGCTGGACCTGCTCAAGGGCAGGGTTTCATCCCAAAATTGGGATATTTTCACCTTCCGAAGGGATAAACGGGAAACATAACAAGATGTTTTAAATGGATAGCTACAATAATTATCCCGTTAATTAATACAATTAACAACAACAAAAATCAATTAACGATACATGAAGGAATAGGTTTTCACTAGATTACTTTTTATCGGAATCACAAGGGATATTAAACGGTTTTAGTGGGATTTTATCCCTGCAGTGTGGTATTTTTACCACATTGAGGAAACACCGGTTCCTGTACAACCATCCCATTCGGAAAACAAGATTCTGTGCCAAGTCGAGTCAAAACCACTTTTATGGAATTCAGCAAAAAACAAGAACAGCTTCAACTCTACAGGAGACATGGACTTCATACTGTGGTTTATCGGCACGTGTTTGAATTACACCGGATAAACAGAGATACTTAAAATGATTCTTTTGTTCATAGTCTATATTTATATTGCAACCACAAAGATCACGGTTAGAAACTCAATACGAATTGTGGGAATGGTTTTGAACATTTTTGGCTCCCTTATTTGGGTGAAACACTTTTTTTAAACTTATCCAAAATTTTTGTTACACCCCTGCTTGGGGGTTTTACTAGGTGTTGCACCTAGATTTTGAAAAGTCCCGAATCCTCCGACGACAGATATGTTTATCATACTATATTTTTCTGAACGTATAAAAGAAGAACGTGTGAGGGTTGTGCCCAAAATGTCTTTACGAATTAAATTATATTTTGTTGCTTTTAATACCAGGGGTAATGTTTGTCAATGAGTTTTAATCTAACTATTTTCCCTCTACGAATAGTGAACAATGAATCTGGGTATGTTTTGCCTGAAAAGAAAAAGAGAGGCTATGTTCACACAAATAGCCTATATAAAATTGTTAACTTCAAAAGCTATTTCGGGACGATATTTGAAATCATCAACGCTTAAGGAGTTTCGAAGGATTAAATCCTACATACAAAAATATCAGGCTTATAAAAATTAACGAATTGAAACAAAGAAATTCATGAGCCAATTGACCATGAAGCTACGGCGAAATCTCATAAATATGTTAAAGACCATAAAGTCCAGCTTATTACGTTTCCTACAAAATTTTCATGTTTCATGTATGTAAATATTCTTGAACGGCAACTTATTTTATATCTTCCTCGAGGCAATCTTATTTTCTCCTCTTTAAAATTTGTATAAATAATGTTATCATTGTTTTGATGTTTTCGAGTTTTACAATCTAATAAAGCTATTTATAAACTACCAAGCAAGGTTATGAGAGGAGGTTGTTTTCATAGAAAATCCATGTTACTGAGAACCATTCAAATAATTATTCATTTAGGTTTCAGGAGAACGAATGCGTTCAAATCAAAAGTAAAAATTCGCTTGGAAGCATTACGATCAAACTTATTATGAGCCACTTGCATTTTTAACTAATTCAATCGTTTGCTGTTGTTGAAGTAACATGATAACTGTCCATTATTATTAAAATTAGCAAATACACACGACGCGGCAAACCTGCAGACTAAGCGAATTTCCATTTACCTGGCTGGATTTCTACTAAAACATTCCCTTAAAATTGTCAGATTTATTTTTCTATTTAAATAAAATTATTTTTTTAGTACTTGGGTTTGCTGCTACAGGGAAGGTATTGAGGCGTTTTATTTTTATTAAAATGTTGATAGGATAGTATGAAATAAACAAAATTGACAAATGTTATTAAAGTTTATTTATTCTCCATAGGAATAACATGGGAATTTTAAATTTACATTCTTCGAATTATCTCCGTAACCCTTAGGCTTATGGCTACAACAACGCTTCAATATACAAAATTACTTATTTTTCGAAGATCTACAAGATGGTTTTTAAAGAAATTGTAACATTTTATGTTTTTAGAGGCAAAATAAAAAACAATTTTTACCCCATAAACCCCCATTGCCATAGTCTTATCATGCTGGTTCGTGAACTCGTTCGAATAAAAGTTTGTTTACACTTTTGTACCAAATTTCATCAAAATCGGAGTATTTTTGCTGTGATAACGGACACACACACATGTACATAAATATATATGAATTTGAACGGAGGGTGTTTTTGGCCGCTGGGGACCTCAAAACGAAAAAGTAAATATTTCCCGGGTCCAGGTCTCACCATGAGACCTACGGTAATAGCTTATTCCCTATATGGGAAATTCACTAAATGTGTGTTCAGTGTTCGCCTTCGAATCTAAAGGCTGCGGTTCGGTTCCAATCAAGATATTTGATCCAGATATTCATTGGACTATTGATAAACGATGCTATAAAAAGATAGACTTAACAAGACCAGGGTTTAGATTGTTCCTAATGTCAATATCAAGAAACACAAACTAAAACAAATTGTACAACTTACCAAAAGCAACAAACATG